TACATACATACATACCTACATACATACCTACATACCTACATACCTACATACCTACATACATACATACATACATACATACATACATACATACATACACACGGATGTATGTATGTACATATACATGTACTGGTATATATACAGAAAGATATGCACATACTCAGATGCATGCACACATATACATACGTATATACACAACCAAGAAGCCTTTGAACGGTTGAGTAAGGGTTACTGCGAGCTACATGGTGCTCTTGGGCAAACACAATTCTCATGCTCTAAGACCACATGTGCTGTGATGCGCTTCGCTTCCGAGTACGAGGCAAACTGCCGCAAAGCAGGAATAGCAGCTCCTTCATCATGTTCTCGACAAGAACTGTGTTGCGGTTGTGCAAGATCCGGTTCGGGGGCGCATTGACAGTGGCATTAGTTGGCATGTTGTTCGAGAAGTAGGATTGCCGCGTTGCCAGCGATTCACCAGTATCCGTACGAGCTCGTCGGCACATTTCGGCTTCATCAGGCAGGGGCTCGCCTCCATCGCTAAAGCGGTCGTCAATTGGGAAAGCCGGCGGCAACTCCTCATCTCCATCGACCTCCCTTGGCTTTTGGGGTGGGAGCATGGAGTTGAGGTTCGATCCCCATAACACCATGGCCATTGCCGGGGACGCTGTCTACGACCCGTCCTACTCGCTTCTCTGATTCGGCCCAGCGACGTTTTGGTTTCCGAGCATCATGACCCCGCAACAAGGGATGCAAGAAAGGACTACAGAGCCATTAATATGGCTGATGTTGCCGTTGCTGCTGCTGCCGCGAAAACTCCATGAAGGTTCTTGTGAGAATGGCTCAGTCATAATGCCGATGATATCGAAACCATGCAGATAAGTTTGACGATTGCGATCATCAACATCATCATCACCATCATCCGAATCATCATCGGTGTCGATGTTTTCTGCCTGGTAGTTACCACGGCTGTTCCCGTTGCATAGTTGCTGCCACTAACCAACCTTCCAATCTGCACTGTCTTTGCTGTCAGTGCGATGCATTTCAGTCATTTGAGAATTTCCGTTCCGTAAGCGACTAAAATGACTACA